CGTGTTTAAGTACGGCGCTGTCGCGGCAAGCGCTCTCTCTCCCCTCTCCCTTCTCTTTCCTCTGCGCTCCTCATCTCCTTTTCCCCTCTGCAGTGATGCCCCCCCCCACCTCTCCCCCTCCTCCACACCATGAGGCCTAATGAATAAAGACCCGCAGCAAGTGTATGAAGGGCGCTGAGTGGAGCAAATTTTTTGCCGTCGAGACAAGAAAGGGTCAGAATTTATGGCAGACATGCGCAACTTATGGCCGCCCACAAACATCTTGCAAGCAGGGGGGACGCGGATGGGCCCTCTGGCGGTCGCGGTGGCGCAGTTGGCAAATCGCTGCTGCACAGCGGGCCGCCAAGACGAAGGGCTTGTCTTGTCATGTTCGCTGTCGGCTAGGGCGATTTGAAGTCACCTTCCGCAAACGAGACTGCCCTTGCCTTTATCGGATGCGGGCAGGTGTCGCTTTTATACCAGGTGTCCCGGCTCTTCCATGCCACTATGTCGGGTTGCATACGCGCTGGCTCGCAGGCGCTGTCGGGATCGGAAACCCCCGCGGTTACACGGGGATGCTCGCGGTTCTGCGGAGATGCGCGAAATCCTTCGCGTTCCCGACAGCGCCTGCGAGCGAGCGCTTATGCAACCTGCCATACTGGTTATAAGAGCCGGGGCACGCGGTACCGGGTGATTCAGAGCACGCACCGCCGTGTTGCGGGTTTGCCTATCCTCGACTCGTCGGGCGCACGGGTGAGAGGTGAGGAGAAGAGGGATCCCCTCCTCACCTCTCACCCGTGCGCCCGCCGAGTCGAGGATAGGCTAACCCGCAACACGGCGGCGCGTGCTCTGAATCACCCGGTACACGTTCAGTTCCTTAGGGGTCACGAGTCAATAGGCAAATCCTACCTGATCCTGCCGCACATGTGCGTGTTGTATGCAGTAAATGAGTGTTAACGAGTTTTAACAAAGGTGGTTTTACGCCAATATCGTAGGACGTAAGAGTTGAAATTTTAACTGTGTTAGTAGCAAGACACTTCAGGTAGCGCATTATTCAAAATCTTCCTTGATAGATACTGACATTTTTTTTTGACAATGGCTGCGCGGGTCGGGGAAGGGAGAATATCGCGTTTGCGTACGAAAGATACGCGAAAGGAAGGAAAAGGCGAGGGGAGGGTCCATCACGTATGCAAATGAAAGGCGGCGGCGGCGACGACGACGACAAGCAAAGTGAATTTTGCTCGCTTCGCGTCGTAGGACTTTTTGAATTCACGATTTTGCAGTTTGTATTTTGTTTATTTTCCCTTCCCCCGCCCTGTGGGTCTTCTCACTCAACAGGCGGGGCCGGCGCGGCGCGGGGCGCTGCGGTCTTGTCGGCAGGACCGCCGTGTGTTCCGCGGGGCTTCTCTCGGTAATCGCCGGGGGTGGCCCCCGGTGGCCCGACACTTGCCCGGCTCGGCATGCGTGTGACAGGTGTCTGACCGGTGCGACGGAGCGGCGCTAAGTGGGAAGGGAGGGAGGGAGGACCCTCACACCTGCGCCCCACGGCACGCGCCGCCTAGCGCCGCCCGGCCCGGCTGAGGTGTGAGGCGAGGTGTCAACCAATTGAGCGCCATTCGCGTTCGATCTATTGATGACGCTTCGTGATGAAACCTCTCTGCTGACCCTCCAATAAAAGTTTCTAGTTTCGTTTGCGCGAGTGGAACACGGTGTGTGTTTTGTGAAGCCCCTGCAGTCTTCGCTGCGGTGGCTATTGTGTTCGAGCCAAAATGGGTGCCGCGCGGTGACGGCGGTGGCTTCCCTGTTTGGATCTCCCGCGGCCGCGGCGGCCGCGGCTGGAGCTTGCCCCGCCTGCCGCTAGATGGCGCCTCCGAGGCCTCTTCGCCCTCCCCCTGCCGCGCCGCGGGTGTTCAGGGCGTCGCCGGCGCCGGCCCGTCCTGCTCGCGTCGTGCTGCCCACGCACAGGGTCTTGCTGTGCATTACGCCGTCGTTCGGGAATTGGCTTGTCGTGCGTCATCTCAGTTTTTCGACCCCGCCTGCACTGGAGCAAGCTGTGCTGCTCAGCGAACAACACGTCAACGTGTGACCTGGTCTATGTGCCGCGGCACCCACGACTTTCTCCATTAAAAGTTTGAATATACTTTTTCAACTCTTTTTCTCACACCCCTCTAAAAAAAGATTCAATTGGCGGGGGTATGACGTTCTTTTGAGGCAATTAGCAAAGTTTGAAGGGCTGCCCAGTGCCGGCCTGGTATGAGACGCCTGTTCTTGGGCACTCCCCGTGGCACCCCCTCTCTCTTCCCTCCCCGTCGGTTGCGCCCCTCTGCCCCGGTCCAGGCTCCTGGCCGTAGAGCAGGCCCGCTCCCCAAGCCACACAATCCGTAAACCCGGGCGGCCGTCGCGCCCGAGCGCCTTCGGGCGGCCGTTCGGCTCTGCTCGGCGCCGCTCGGCTCACCCCACTCGCTCGGCTTCGGCTTCGGCTCGGCTCTCGGCTCGGCTCGTCAGTAGCAACTCGGCCGAGCCACACGGAGGACGTTTCGCCGTCCGCACCTAGCGTTTCGTACCGCCAAGCTAGCGTCCCGTACCGTGTGTTTGTTGTGCCTATCGCCCGCTCCGCCCCCCGCAGCGCTTTGCAGTGTAGTGATATTGTGCCGTGCGTGTGTGCGAGTGAGTGAGTGAGTTGTGTCCTGAGACCCCCTGGAGTAACGCGGCAACAAGGACGAAGAGGACCACGACGCGCGTGTGCTCGCTTGGATTTTTTTCCGAGCACACCAGGAGGAGTGCCGCCAACCGGCAGCAGGAATTTTATGTTCTAACAGTCCCACAACAGCTTCCAAACTGTGGGGGTCAGGAGCCTTTTTTCTTCCTCCTCAAGGGATGTATTACCCTGTAAGTATCATCACAACACACGTGGACCCGCGAGGCCCTGGAGTATATAGCGTGGGGGTGGGGGAGGGGAGTGGAAGGAGGGAGGAGGACCTCGAGCCGCAATGCTCTTTATTTGAGCGGGCTCGTCGCGGTCCTGCTGGCCTTGGGCGCGCGGTCCTTGAGCACGACGCACGCTGCTGGTTCGAATGCGCCGTTACATCTTGCTCTTTGTTGTGGATGACGTCACTCTTGTCCAGCCACCGTGTCCACGTGGTGCGGCCGCAGGACACCGTCTCCAGCGCCCGGCCCCGCAGCTGGAAAATACCCCATTTTGCTTCAGCTGACGGCGTGCCTCTCCTGACGACGCAGGACGAGTCGCGACGCGCTCCGCCGGCCGTCGCGACATGTCAGCGGGCGGTCATCTGATTGTGCCAGCTCTTGGTGTTGCTGCGGGGGTCCATATGCATGGGCTGTTACTGCTCCACTTCCTGCCGCTCTGGTCTGGTGGGATGTCGCTGTGCTCATACCATCGCTTTACACTGCCAGAAAAATCCCGCACAGCGGCGGGAGAGGCTGCCTGCCTGCTTGCAGCTGTCTTGGAGGGGGAGGAGGGAGGGAGGATCCTTGGTGCTGGAGGAAACCCCGGGCGTGGCGGAGCGTAGCGCGGGTCTGGCCTGCCTGGCGGTAGGCTGCTGCTCCTCCTCGGCGTGCCTCGCGGAGCTCGCAGACTGTGGTGCGGTACAGTCCCAAGCAGGAGTGACATAGCCCCTGGAACTCGTAGACCGTAGCGCGGCGCAGCGGCAGGGTACAGTAGCAGTGCCCTGGTCTGGAGCTGGCAGACCATGGCTTGGTGAGGTCCTGGAACCGGTACCAGGCCGTGGTGCAGGGTACAGTCCCGGCAGCCTCTTTGGCACCGCGTCCGCGGGCACGTCCGACGTTTATCGCCTACGGTAGACGCTGGCGGGGCATGCCGTGCAGGGGCGGATCCAGCGAGCGGGGCGTGAATGTGGGTCACGAGGGTCGCAGCCTCCCCCACGTACTACGCGAAGGCCCCCCTGGGGTCCCCGGGCCTCGGGGGCACTCTGGAGGGGGCGCCAGGGGAGCACTGGCAGCAAGCGCCGGGACTGCCGCCCCGGGAGCACCTTGGCGTCGACCCTCGTGACTGAGTTTTGAATATTCACTGACTGACGGTGACGCTCGTCTGGCGCGCTCGACTCGTCTCAGAGAAAGCTCCGCACGCCACGCCACGTCTCGAAGAGTAGTAGGAGGAGGAGGAGGCTGACGGCGGAGGTCGAGGCCGGCCTTGGCCACTCTCCACGTCACGCCGCGGGGCCCGCGAGAGGCATTTCGGGGAGAATAGAGAGAGAGAGGGGGGAAGAGGGGCGGGAGGCCAGCAGGCCAGCAGCTATCTGGCTGCCACCGACAGACCAGCACAAGTTACAGCAGGCCGGTCCGGTCGTTCGGTCGCCCGCCGTGGCCAGCTTCTGGGCCTGCGCTGCGGTATCTTGTTGTGATGGGGCCGGCTATCGCTGCGCGCCCAGAGACCTCTCGATGCGTCCTCATCTCCCCTCTCTCGATCCCATGTTTATGTACACGATGTGAACGAACGTACTCGAGGCAGCGGCCGTAATTTGAGTCGTGCTGTCGTGACCGAGAAGCGCTGTGGGGTCATTTTATTTTGGCAGTGCACACAAGTGTGGGGCCGCTCACGATCGTGTACGGTTGCGGGCCCCGGAGGTTCGGGCGCTTGTTTGGAGCTCAAACAGATTAGGCGTGTGTGTGTGCGCGTGTTCAGGTGTGTGCGGGCGGGCCTTGTGCAGCTCCTGGAGCGTCTTGGATCGCTCTTCCGTGTCCGGCTCCGCGTTGCTCTCTGCTGCGCTTGCTGGGAAGTGCCTGCTGCAGCCCGTTATGTTATCTTCCCCGTCTATTTATTTGTTTCTGGTGGTGGGTATTTCCGTGGCGATGAATGCTGAAAATCTCTGTGCTGCTCTCTCTCGCTCGCCCCCTGGCAGGCCCTCCCCCGCTCCTTCTCGGAACAGAGTGCCGTAAACAAGGGCTGTTTGAAGGAGGGTCAGCGGACGGAGAGGAGCCCGTTGAGTGATACACAGCGTACACTGTGCGCACGCACCGCGCGCCTCAGAGATGCAGGCGGGCTGGGCCCGGCTGGGCCATCAGCCTTCTCAACGCATTCGTCTGCCTGCTGTGGCCTCTTCCGCGTCGACCTGTCGCTTGTTCGCCGTGGGGCCG